CATTGTTAAATTATACAAATAAAAACCATTTAGTTTGTTATTATTTTAAGCACACACACACACACACACACACACACATAGCGCCGGCTCTGAAAATTATTAATATGACAATCGATGCCATCAGTTGATTCATTGTCTTCAGAGTCTACTAATTACTTCTTCAGTTACCTTTTTAGCGCTTGTCTTCTCTCTATTGTCTTCTTTTTGAGTCATCCATGGATTCAATGTTTGCATAACTAATGGTTTGATTCAAACAAATAATACAATTGTTATCGTTAATAGCATATAAAACATTGATTTCCGAAAACAATTCACAATTAATTTGATTATTATTTTTTAAACTATTTATTCATATTGTGAACTATTTATACATTTAAACTATTTATGTATATTATTATCACATTTTTTTGGCCAATAATTTATATTTCAATAACTCTGTTGTTAAGCGATTCACCTCTTGTTTCAATTCACACACAATTAGACACAATTAACGCCGACTTAAGCCTTGAATATAAGTAAATTGAAATCTGAACTATGCTAGATAGTTTTAACATTAAATACTAATACAATTGTGTGTAAATAATTATAATTCTATTCCTGTTCTTCCGTTTATAGATGGCTTTATTTATGATCACATTAACCGTCAATTGGTTTTGGCATTTCTTATGTTTCTGATGGCCGTAACCATAGCTGTGGTACCCATTTGTCCAAACCTTCCCGTATTTTTCACAATCATAGGACTGTGCGGTTACGGAACCGGAGGTTTGACAGAAACCAAATCTAACATAGATTAAATTATATCTACAGCGATATTAAGCTAAGAAAAGTTTCTACGACTACTGTGTTTTGTAATGTGCGTTTCACTGCAAGACATGCACACAGACATACAATAATAACAAGTTATATGATTTAACCCATTTTAATGAATTTATATTTAAACAAAGTCCATATTTAACCAAACAACAACTAATCGATCAAAACTACATAGACAAATGTAAAAAAATATAATACCAAATGTTTTTCATCAGTGACTGAAACTTTACTTTGTGTGTGCATGTATTGCAGTGAAACGCACATTACAAAACACAGTAGTCCTAGAGACTTTTCCTAGCTAATTTTTGCTGTACATATACATGCTGTATATTTACATCACGTTTAATAATTGCATTAATTTAAAAACAATTTATCATTTACTTAGGCTTTGAAATCGCCTCGGTGGTTTGGCTGGTAGAGATATGGGGCCAACAATCGAGCCTATATTTAGGAGGGTTTCAATTTTTCTTCGCGCTCGGCCTATGCGTAGCGCCGTTAATGTCAGCCCCTTTTTTAACCAACATCAACACCGGTGCGACCAATCAGATGAGCCCAAACGCCGTGAACGTGGCTCGACTGGAAGCGCCGTTTGCCATAACGGGCTCTTTTCTAGTAATATCGTCGGCGCTGTTAATACTATTACACTGTTATCGCAAATACGTGCCGCCGATAACGGCTGAGCCTAAACACGTGATAAATCGGCCTAAAAAAGGGCACTACACATATCTGGCGCTGGCGCTGCTCACAATCGCCCCCTACATTGGGGTCGAGTTTATGAACTTTCAATTAATGCCCACGTTTTTGGCCGACTCGCACCGACACCTGTCGGCCACCCGGAGTTCGCTAATGTTGACCGTATTGAGCGCCGCCTTTCTGTTCTCATGTTTAATCAATTTTGTCGTTTCGATTAAGTATTGGTCTAAAAATTCAATTTATGTCAATTTTACCATGATGCTATTGTCAAACGTGTTTCTATTTGTGTATCAATATTACGCGCGAGACGATAGCCTTATGATTGCCGGTATTGTTGCGATGGGAACGGGTTTTTCGACAGCCTATCCGTCTATTTATACATTTTTCTCGTCTAATATGAATCTAAATCACGCGACGACTGCCCTATTGATTAGCGTCGCCGGTATGGCTGAGGCTGTGTTTCCCGTGGTTTGCGGCCAATTCATTGCCGGACAGCCTTTGGCTCTCATTTATATGAATTTTATTTTGATTACAATTTCGTTCCTATCATTCATTTTGTTTGATTTTATTATTTATTTAAGAAAATGATAATATAAAAAATTATTATTACTTTTATTTAATTTTAAATAATAGTTTAATAATTAGGACTATTTTATTATTTTATTTGTTTATTATTGTTGTTTTTGTATTTGTCATTAAATAATAATTAAAGATATTTTTTATACAAAGAAACTTTATATATTGGGTATGAGTTTATTTAATGCGAAAATTCTCGTTCCGTGACTTTGAATATCTATAACTTTTGTTTGTATTGTATGAATCAGTTCATTCCAACTCTATATAATACTTCAATATAATAGCTTCAATTATATGCCATCAAATTAATATATTTGTATTAAGAAGTAGTGTTCCCAGATGAAACAAACCATAGCAAACACAAAAATATTATTATGCAATTTGAATTTCAGCATTAAGTTACTATTTAATAGCTTATTCTAAACAATACTAGAAGCGTATGCGATGTATTGGCTATCGATCTATTCAGTGAATTGTTTAAAATGTTAAAATTTATAGGTTATGACCTCTAAGTCAGGGCCCGATTGAGTCTACCCCGACATGTGATCAATCTTGAGCCAGAAGACTGGGTTGAGTCCGATTAAAGACTTTCAAATATGGAATTGTTGGTCAACTAAGGCTTAACAAATGCAACTATTTATGACCAATTAAAAGTGACCAGGAAAGGGTCCCGAGCAGATATTCCTGAATATGCCCAAAATATGGCTGTTTTGGCCTATGTTTTTGGTAGCATATTTTTAAAAATCACCTTAAAAAAGATATATGGTTTTGGGCGAATATTTCTCTAATATTGATTAGAACCTTCAGTTATTGCTCTATAAGATTGGCTATTATATCACACTCTGTAATCATGTCTTAGTGGTAAAAATGTCAAAACAAAAGTAGTGGTCAAAATATACCTCACTTACTTCTTTGACTCTCAGGGCAGCCATTTTTATTTGGAAGATATTGAATCTCCCCTCAAATGAAGGTAAATAGTTGACAAAAATGATGACCGATATAAATTCTGAATTACTATTTTGGTTATTAATAAAAAATAATTTTTATTTTACTCTGAGATTTCGCATTAAATAAACTCATACCCAATAGAAATATTTTCCACTATTTTAATGCCGATATTACGTATAATTTCAATTTACCACAATGTTTAATTACTGAAATAAATATAATTTAAAAAAATGATAAGTTGTTAAATTGTTAAATAATGACTAATATTTTTGATAATGAAAATATGTATTTAAAATAACTTAAATTAATAAAATTATTTTAATAAAAAGACAATTGATTTGTACAAAATTAGTTATTTTTATTCATAATTAGAAATATATTATTATCATGATAACTTAACTTTAATTATGTTAATTTGCCAATTTCATTATAAAATAATTAAATAACGGTGAAATTATTTACTATTGTCTGAAATGTTTTGACAATAAAATAGAGATCAAACAGAAATATTTAATTTAATTGTTATTTAATCTATGTACAATAAAATGAATACAGTAAAACATCATTGTCAATTATATATGGTTAATCGTAATGAGCTAATAGTACCAGCAAATTTTATTGTTTATTACAACGAGGTTATAGTAGAGTTTATATAAATACTTATCGCGCCTCATCAAGATAAAACCATATCTAAATTACATTATATTAATAATTATATTTAAATGCAATATTAGTATTATTCACACATAGTTATTAAATTTAATACTAATTAAAACAAATTAGTTTTGCTCATAAATGCCGGGCTATAGTGTCGACCGGTTTCCCGATTTGTCGGCCGAAGATCGGGACGAATACACGTGTAGTATATGTCAGCAGATATTTGACACTCCGGTCACCACAACCTGTTGTCTACAAACTTTCTGTGAGGACTGTATTATTAAATGGCTTAAGACTAACACCACCTGTCCCTACGACAGGAAGCCATTGACTAGGAAAGGGCTGTCTCAATCACCAAGGTTATATTTAATTAAATAGTATTTCTTATATTTGAACATTACAAAATTAATGTAATAATATTATCTTGTTAATTTTTAACACATATGGTATATAATTCAATATCTTAGGATAATTGTCAACACTTTGGGTCGATTTAAGATAGAATGCGACTACTGGGAGGTCGGGTGCCGTAAAGTGATCAAACTGTCGGACTTACCGCAACATACAGTCAACTGTCGCTATAAATTAACAAATTGCTCAATCTGCGTACCTAAAAGTGAGGACCAGATACTGGCCGAGTGTAGGCGACACCTGTCGGCACCGGAACTTATATCAAACAAAATAAACGCCGATATGACCGACAAAACACTGGCCATAATTAGGCAACAATTAAGGGAACAAAATACTATATACGAAGTGTGCAAAGAAGTGGTCAATCAAATGGAGCTCAAGTATGGTAGCGCCTGGACCTGCACTGCCGATTGGGCGGTAAAGGCTTAAGCACCGGCTACTTTGCCTACACACAAGACTGGTATTTGAGTATTAAATTTGACCGGGTCACACTGATTTTATATCACACAGATCGGGTAATGTAATAATTTATCATGTATAAAGTATTTTTATAAATTTTAGTAACACCCATGCAATAGATTTTAATGCAAAACATACTGTATTAAAAATATACAGTGTCAAAACAACAATATTAAGTACATATTTTATACGGTAGCCTTGTTTATTTGTAACGCAACTTTGCCCTGTATAGATTGTTAAATAATGATTATTCAAACTAATTTAAAAACTTACTTTAATAACCATAACTATCAAAACATTTAATTTACATAGATGGTGTGGAAAACATTTAAAACCCGAATTGAGCATGATAAAAACGCCCGTAAACTAGACATATTTAGGACAGACATGAATGCATCGATGGTAATGATGGTAACGGATATGATATTTCAGGCTATTTATCGGTCGGATAATATGATGAACGCCTCGGCGGCCATTAGGACACAAATGCTGGCTAACTATCCGGACACCGATTGGCAGTGCATACTGTATGCAAAGGGTAACTGTAATTACAGTTTGAGCATTTTCCCCGGCACATATATCACTTGCAGCGTGGGTCAGTTGAACGTGATCATTTTTGCGCCATCAACTTTTAATTTAAATTACCATAATCATTGTGCTTAAAATAATAACAAACTAAATGGTTTTTATTTGTATAATTTAACAATGTTGTAATTTTAGTCTTAATAATGGTGGAATTTTGTCTCTAATCCACAAAGTTAACATTGTAAGTAATTAATAAAATGATATTCAGTAATGTTGATTTTAATTATTAAAAATTGTTAAAAATTTATAATTTATAATGTAATTCCCAAATAAAATAAGTTAATATAATTATTGGGAATTAACATGCAGTTAGTCTATTACCTAATAAATTGATATTAGTCAATTTGAATGCAAAACGTTTCTGAATAGGCTTGGGCTGAGATGAACGAGATCTTTGCATCCCAGTGCTTGAGTACACATCAAAGCATTTCTCTCTCTCTCTCTTTATTTCTCATGTTTAATCAATTTTTAATAATTAAAATCAACATTACTGAATATCATTTTATTAATTACTTACAATGTTAACTTTGTGGATTAGAGACAAAATTCCACCATTTCTCTCTCTCTCTCTCTCTCTCTCTCTCTCTCTCTTTATTTCTTATGTTTATTTTATGAGTTATGCTGTGATTACACAGTATTGTAATATATTTATCATTTACATTGATCAAATGACGTGTACCAAACACATTGTAGTTGTGTAATGCAAACGGCTTTCTAATACAATACATGAATGATTATTTTAAATCTATGTTTCCATTGTTTTACTGATTAGTTAATTGATAACATACAGTATATTTCATATCAGTTTATGTAATTATGACATAAAGTAATTAATATATTTTTATATTATATTTTAGTAAATGTTATTTCTTTTGTATAACTAAATTTTGTGGGCAACAAATGCCGGGCTATTCAAGCGATCGGTTCCCCGACCTGTCGGCCGAAGATCGGGACGAATACACGTGTAGTATATGTCAGGAGATATTTGACTGTCCGGTGACCACAACCTGTTGTCTACAGACGTTTTGCGAGCACTGTATTAATGATTGGCTTCAAAACAACACTACCTGTCCATATGATAGGAAATCATTGACCAAAGCCGATTTGACACGAGCATCAAGGTTAGTTTAATTAATTGTTCAAGTTAAATTAACTACACAAAACATATGTCATTTAATACTTATGTTATAATTATTATGAATTTTAAGAATTATTTTATAATTTGTAACATAATTTATTAAATATTAGGATAATTGCTAACACTTTGGGTCGGTTTAAGATACGGTGCGACTTTTGGGACGTCGGGTGCCGTGAAGTGATCAAATTGGAAGAACTACCACATCATACACTCAACTGTCGCTATAAAGACACAAAATGCCCTAAATGTCAGTGCGTTCAACGATCGGGACACGACTGTATCGAGGCGTTACGGGCTGAGATCGAGGCATTAAAACTTGCTAATAAAACTGTTATTACTGACCATGATAAAAAGTTGGGTGCTGTCAACGCACGGCCAATGGGCCAAACTCTACCTCAACATCAGATACTGGCCGACTGTCGGCAACACCTGTCGGCACCTGTAGTGCTGTATAACAGTATGAGCGCCGATATGATAGACAAAACTCTAGCAGTAATTACTGAACAGTTAAGGGAACAAAATAGCGTATACCTGGTGTGCAAAAACGTGGTCAATCAGATGGAGTTAGAGTACGGCACCACTTGGCACTGTACGGGCGATTGGCTCGGAGGCAGCACCGGGTACTATATGGCCGAACAGGGAAAGTATTTGAAAGTGAAGTATGCTACGTTGACTTTAACCGTGTTTCATACTGATAGGGTAAATTTTAGCATAGTTATTTTGTAATAATTATTAATAATTAAGCTCATTTATTGTTGCTAGTTGATATTGGCTCGATTGAAGGCCCGGATAGAGCATAACAAAATATCACGTCATTTGAATATATTGTGTACGGATATGAAGTCATCGATGGTATCGGTTGTGACGGATATTGTGTTTGAGGCCATCGATAGGGCGGACACAATGAACAATACGGCGGCCGTTATTAAGGCCCAAATGGCTGTCAGATATCCGGGCATAACGTGGCAGTGCTTTCTCAACGGCCAGGGTATTGGTGGCTACTGTTTGACCAAGGTACTTGGCACTTATATGAATTGCCACGTGGGCCAATTAAGTGTTACAATATTCGAGGCCAAAATATAATACCAAATTAGGTATCATTAACAAAACCATAATACCAAAAAATTCTATTTTACCATGTATGATTTATTTATAACCACTATTCTGTGTGAATAATGATGTTTATATACTCTTAAACAACATTTTGTTATTATTCACCAATAATTAAATTAATTAAGTTGATGCTTAGAATAGGTAATGTTGATAAATAATTATTAATTCAATAAAACAACAACTTATTTAATTAAAATATTTTATTTTATGTATTTTATAAATAATCACAACAAATTCTGGAACAATCATAAATGTCACATGCAAGTACTGTAAATAAATAGGAAAATATTAATTGATATATTTTTATCAATAATATTTTAATTATTTTACCATAAGTTGATACACGCATATTATATATTGGTTGATAATTTAAAACATATTTCTAATGTCTAATTTATTATTAAACAAAAATACAAATAATTATTTAATCATAAATATTTGTAAGTTATATTCTAGATATTGTAACACGCATAAAATAAATGACATTTATTGTTATTTATTAAACAGGCGTAAAAATAATAAATGAATAATTTTATCAATAATATTTTAATTATTTTATTAAAAGCAGTTTCACCCATATTTCATATTGGTTGATAATTTAACAACACATTTAACCATGGCAACAATTTGAGATAAATGTCATAGCCCACAGTTTATATATTTGTAAAGTTTCTAAACACGAGAACAGTAGCTTAAATAACCGGATTAATGATTAACATATTTTAACATATCTTAAATGTCAAAATGTTAATATAAAGTATCTTTACATGATGCATGTAACAAAATAATAACAACGTTCGGATTTTGTATTAAATAAAAAATGCCTCAATTAATTCAAATAATTCAGTATAGTGTAATTTGTAATAATATTAATTTTGTAACAGTTATTAAACTGTTTGTTAAAGTGTTTAGTTTATGTGTGTTATCCTATGGCGCCATAGAGTTAACAACAGATTATTTCAGTTATCCCTATGTTTATAGCGTTTACGTAAAGCCAAGCAATGAATTGCTTTTACCAGAGATTACAATCTGTACGGAAAGGGATGTGTTTTTTGACAAAACAAGGATTAATACAGAATTTGGATTAGAGTATGAATACGAGAAATGGAAACAAATGGCAAAAATCATCACTGACAATATAATAAATGTAACATGTGCAATTGACGATGCTTATATTCTCTATCCATATGTTTGCAAGAATCACACTTTTGTTAAACACTATTATTTAAAATATTTTTATGACAAATATTTGCCGCAAATGTTTGCCAACTATTCGTTCAATGATTTATTCAATCGATTCTCAATTAATGGCAACGAATTGATTAACTATTCGGCAAAAGTGGGCATAAAATACAACAATGAGTACAGAGTGTCCGATAAATGTGTCTCTAATGAAGACAACACTGTTTCGCACAGTATTTACGGTACAAAAGACTTTGGCGTTTGTTTTAAGTACTTCTCAAACGACGGAAATACTAATCAATTTTTTCTAATTGACAAACATTTCGTTGAGTTCCGCATATCCTATGAAAAACAAAAAGATTTTTTCTTAGCTGACACTCATTTGGACATTAATTTTAATAATAAATACATTTCAGGTAATCGATACCATTTAAAAAGTAAATCATTTGTTGAACACCTGGTATTATATGTATTTGTGGATCAAATGTCTACTGAATTAATGGCAACGAAAGGGGCGGCTCTTAAGATACCAAGTGTTGGCATTAATGCGAGAATTAATTTGTATAAAACATATGTAAATTTTTTATCACAACCTTATATGCATAATTGCCAATATAATTGAGGTAATTTTATAAAGTATGTTAAATTATTATTTATTAATTAACTCATTATACAAAATAAACAGATTTGTACTCCAATTGTTACTGGGATTGTATGTACAGAATGTACAACAAAATATACAATTGTATACCAAATCCATATTTAAATCCAAATTTTATTCTCCAAAATGCGAGACAAACAGAATATAAATTTTGCAATAATTCTGTTAATAATAAAGAATCGGTCGTTAATAACAAGTATTGCAACAATAGTTGTGTTAAGAATTGCCATCAGATTTACCACACCTTAGAGTTGGATAAAACAGAGTTTATGGGACTCACGGATAGTGTACTCAGAATTCAATACAAATCATACAACGAATTTCATTATACAAGTGATGAGAAATATCCATTTGTTAACTACATGTCAGACATTGGGGGTCTGTTTGGGCTGTGGTTTGGGATAGCGTTTATAGACACCAGTGTTTTGATTACATTACTGTTAACTCGTATTAAACGTATATTTACCACAATTATCAGCAAAAAATTTAAACGTATTTTCAGATTATTATACAATCGTATTAAGCGATTGCTATCACGACTGGAATGGTATAATTGGCGTAGAATTGTATCAATCATAACAATACCTATAATTGTATATCAAATAAATTTATTAACTTTTAATTACTTCTCATTTCCCACACAAACGACACTCAATATTATTGAATTGAAAGACATCTCAACAAATAACATACCATTTAAATACTTACCTTCGGTTACCTTATGTTATGAACATGTAATTAAAGACATTATGTTTGATAAAAATTTACGTAATTATATTAAAAACATATATAAATTTATTACTCCCGAAGACTATGTATATTTTGCAACTATGCATCGAGATATATTAACGCCGTATTATTTTAATGGATTAAATCAATCAAATTATTTGCTTATTGATTGGATTAAATATTTTAATATATCCGACATTAATTTATATAATCAAATTGATAAAAACCGTTATAAAAAATATGGTTTATTCAACACAACAATAATGGATATAAAATCTTTTAATGAATATATTGTGTGTAATGTCAATAGCAATCCTTGCCATCAATTCCGGCCACCAGTGGTCACACTATCGCCGTTCGGTCGGTGCCAGACATACCTCACAGACATATCAATGGCCGGCAATATATCGACACAATCGGTGCTCAACACCGGAATCGATGGCTCGGAAGTGATTGTATTCAACGAGAATCGACAAATTGATGGAAAGTATAATAGGATTAATATTTTGAAAAAGCGTTTTATTATTCATTCGCCGAAAGAATTGCCAAAACAAACGGATTATTCGTTTGAATACAAAGATTTTCTTATAAATCAACGCCAAGTAAATAGACTTTTAGTAAAATTAATACCGTATTCATTGGGACGACTGCCGGCGCCGTACGATAGCGGACGAGACGGTGGATGTCGTGTTCGGTCCGCCGGAGACACACAATACGATTGTCTGCAGCGATGCTATCGTAAGCAATACGAGAGTCAATACCCAAATACAACACATTGTTATGCAAACAAAAATTTGCAAACAATTGTATTAACGATTGACAATAAAATTGCAAACAATTTTCAAAACAATTGTTTTACACGTTTTAATCGATCGGATATTATGTATATTAATAATAATAATACCTATAATAATATCTGTCAACTCAAATGTCCGGCCGATTGTCGGGAAACTATATATCAGACAATTAGGACAGAAGTATATCAACATAACGGTGACCTATCGAAGTCATTCACCACGTTCACATTTGCTAATAGTTATTTTATTCAAATAAACTATGTACCTAAAATCACATTTATCAATCTAGTTATTAGTATAATCAATGTCATAAGTCTATGGCACGGATTCGCAGTTATTGGCATTTTAAACAATTTTATTGTATATTTAAATCATAAATTGTTGCGCTTTTCTATCGTAAAGTATGTTTGCCAACAGCTATGCTATCGATTTGGTCGGACATCGCTTTTTATGCCACTATATATTCGAGTAATCTTTTAACAAATTAATGTAATATTATATTAATGTAAAATTAGTAACTTTTAAAATTATGATTTAGTACACAATTCTATGCCTAATGGCGGCAATACTTGGCTACCAATTATATGACGTGTCGGTCGACTATTTTGCCTACAAAACGGTTACCGTATTTGACGTAATGGACAACTCAATTGACCCGCACTTACCGCACATAACCCTTGTCTATAATTTGGGCGAAACGTGTAAAGTATCCAATAGTCGTCAGTGTTTGCGTACAAAACTGGATGAGTTATGTTGGCATACAGACGAGTACTACACGACACTATTTAACATTAGTAAAGTCGACGCGTGCGCGCTGACACATATAGCTCGTACGGGCGACGAGTGGCCGGGCGTTGACATACGGTCACTGAGACGACTCGTATCGTATCGACGCACGCGTAGTCGATATGCGTTCATAATTATCAGCGTATTATTTAACCGGACGTCGACTACCATTGCGTCAAACGGACAAAACATAGACAACGGTTTGCGTCAGTTTGCGGTCATTCGTCGTTGGAGTGATGCACTCGATTCGGACCCGAAGTATGTATTACTTCACTACCGATCGGTGCCCGACATCGAGCGCCTGTTTAGCGGCCAAACAGAACTGTCGGGCGTTAACCACACTCTGGCCGTCACAAAGACAATGCGCCGACTGTTGCCCTCTCCGTACGGCCGGTGCAGTGATTACGGCTCAGACCCGTCGACCGGTGCCGAGGGGTCGGGCAGTGGACAACCGTTTCGCGCGATCTCTCACTTCCATTGCATGAGAAGGTGTCGATTGAGTGCAGTTAGAGAACCTCCCGATGAATTCTGTGGCTTATACCATGTGGATAACATTTTACACGAGTTAGATTTTGAACAATGCCCAAGTACAAACCAATCTATTTATGAACCATACTTTAATGGTAGAATATTGCAATATAATAGTGAGGAAATAAATATGGTGAATATGATGCAAATTATGTACTTGCACACTTTGTGTTTACAATATAAATCTTGTCGTTTAGTCTATAGTATCGGTTCAGTGTCTGTCGTATTGTCCGCCCGATTGTGTGGCAATGGATTATCGCTCGCGTGTTGTCAACGATAATAAGGATTACATACAGAAAGTGTGGTTCAATGA